AGAAATGTATTTTATCTCACGGGTGCTTCTGGGGTCACCAAGCTCCGCGTGCCCTCCTGCGGTAGACCCGTGTTGACAAGCAGAACCGTCCGGCGCATCGCCCACTGCGACTTCGCGATAGATAACCTGCATTTCCTGTGACCAATATCTACCAATAGTATTAAGGCTTGACCACTTAGAAAAAAAACCTGGACTATGCATGCGCGAAAAGTTGCAAAGGGGAAGGTTCCCCCTCTTAGGAGCTGAACTTCCCCGCCTTGAGGAGCCATTGCCGTCACCGCCGCCGCCTCAGCCAGAGCGGGCGGGGACAAGACACTCTGGCCTTGAATATTCCGAACCCCAGAGTGTTGAAGCTTGAGAACAAAGTTGCAAGAGCGAATCAGTTATCGTTGCAGGCGGCCCTTGAGTTCAACTGAGTTCCCCTTCGGGAGCAGTGGGGGATAGCTCAGCCACGCCTCCCGTGGTAAGCGACGCCATGTTTTGTTTTGTTTTTAATTATTATTATTATTATTATTATTATTATTATTATTATTATTATTATTATTATTATTATTATTTAAGTGATCGAGCTGTACTAGTAGATATTGCTGTGATACTATCCAAATAGGCTCTATCAACTTTCAGGACGTTAAAACATTACTGAAACTTCCAGAAATCGCCAGAAACAAGAATTGCATACGGAAGCTCGCAATTTTTACTGATTATTGCCACGAGAGCTGATACCTAAAATTGCACAATATTCGCTTTCAGAACAAACACAAGAAGCAGAAGTTCTAGAACAGAAAACTAACTAGGTAAGATGCGAAATTTGTCCAAGAAATGTGGAGACAATAGCGTCCCTAAAAAAGCGAAATATGCAAGAAAACTGTCTTATGTAAATAACATTCATTGTTTGCTTGTAATGATTGGGAGTAAAAAAGCATTACTGAACTTTACAACTTTACTCATACATTCTGAAATAACATTTAAAGTGTACTAATGCTTATGAACTTCTTTTGCATTAAGTGAAAGAAAAAATATTTTATGTATAAAATGTGTAATTTTTTTACTTTTACATTAATAATTGTAATAGAAAAGTAACCGACTAATGAAGTTAAGGATGTAACAGTCATCTAAAAAAAAAAACGAATTATATCATGATGTCGTAAGACTGAATAAATGTAAATTTCAGTATTAAATAAGGAATTCTTACCTACAAAAAATATGATGAAATAAATTATTTGCAGATTATTTAACAAGTTATAGTATATACCCTAGTTCTTAAATAACTAAATAGCTTAAATAATGCGACCTATTGCGGCAATCGCTGGTAATAATTTCGATGAAGGCTGTGTCTTTCATGAGTCAATGACGAATGTTTAAACATGTTTAAAAATTAGTGAGAAACAGAAAAAGTGAACATTAAATAACACTTTATAATTAAAAATTTACAAAATACTGAGTAATTTATGAATTTTGTCCATGGAGCACAAAATCCAACGAGTTTGAAATATGTCTTTGTCAGTGATAAATCTGTAAATGCAAAGAAAAGACCAAAATTTAAATTTTAAATTGCAAAAATAATAATTTATTATCTCCAATAGAGTATTGTAATAAACGTTTTCACTCCTAAAAGTTTCAGTTTACAATCAGAAAATGACATGTCTTTAATTAGGGTGCTCCGGCCTCTATTGAATCGCCTCAAGGGCCTGGTCTGTTGAACTTACGCCACTGCATTCCACCCGTTACGTTCATAGGCAAGAAGCGACCTCTGCCGGGTTAATATACATGAAGATAATTAGATTTTGCGAGATGTATGTATGTATTTAGCGTGACAGCCCGTGAACGGGCTCAGGCTCAGGCCTACACCGGCGACGTCCTTGCCTCGTGGCCATGGGTTACGGGGGTAGGTGTGGTTAGCACGTAGACATCCCCACGCCGTATTCCGGTCTTCTCAAACTGAGAAGTGAATTTTCTCATCGTCACACAGCAACATATACTGGGACTTTGCAAGGAACGCACACTATAGTCTTGGCTCAACAGCGAATTGAACCCGGGGCCGAGTAGTGGAAAGCGAGCACGCTGACCCAGAGCTTATTACGAGCCAGATTTTGCGAGATACAAATTCTTAAAATTATTAAACTATTGATTAATGGTTTTCTTCAAATATCGAATTTATGAATTTTGGAAAATTACCGCCCCTTCCTCAAGTACAAGGAACAGTATTTGAACATTTCTGCTTCTGGGATAATTGAACACGACCTAACTAAAACAAAAAAAATGATGATTGCCAGCTGTCAAGAACAATGTCTTCTAAAAGTCTGTTTTATTATTCCCAGCAGAAAACGTGATTACCAATATTTTTAAATCAATACAGGTAAAACCACGGCATACCTAAGATTAATCTCTATATCATAGAGGAAATATACGGTTCCTTCTTCTCTTACACAGTATTCTATATCCAGGGGCGGATCCAGCCGATCATTTGGTGGGGGATCATATACTTTTGTTAAATAATAAATATGTGTTTCACAGTAAAATCTATCTAAAAAAAGAACCTGTACAAGCCGGAAACCTGTCTTAACCATAAAATGTCCCCTGCCTGTGAATTAAAATAACATTGCACATAGCATAAAACGGGACCTGACCAACGCAGAAACGGAACGGATTTTCATGACCTGCATGAAAAAAAGGAGGGAACAAAAACTTTATAAAACAGAATTTCTCACGCATTGTGTCTTGAAACACTCATCAAGTACTTCCACAGCAGCCATTAGGCAGTTAGGTGGTGCGCATTTTTAAGAGTTTCACAACCAGTTTAGCAATAGTTGGAAAAAATCATAACATTCTAACATTAGAAGAAAAGGTCACTTACAAAAGCAAAAGAAACTCAGAAGCTGCTAATTTAGAATGTTTAATATTCATTTACTGGCGATTTCTTTCATAAATACGATATATTAATATATTTTAATAATTATAAAAAATGTAATTTACTAACTTCAGGATGGAAAGATCAATTTCACCACTGTCTTAAAATGGGCAACCCTACATAAAACGGAAACCTTCCTAAACTGGATTTTTTTGTCCCGATCGATCCCGGGACATACAATTTTATGATATATTACATATTATTTTTTAGTGTATATATGATACTACACAATATTATCGCTATAAATGACATGTCTACAAGTTTCCCTTGCGCTTCTTATTATAGTTTTCCACTGAGTTTATCTCGTTTAAATTAATCTAGCAGCTTACTGGCGTATTTTTATGCTGTTATTGTTCAATAATACACTAATTTAAATGTGAGAAAGTCTGGACTGGGACTCGAACCTGCGACAACAAGTCACCTGCGACTCGCACTCGCAACGGGAAACACAATTCTCGGAACAATTCCTACGGGGGAGCACGACAAGAACAAATTGGCCCAAAACTGAGCTGTGTAATACGTAAAGTTTCAGAGATCTCATTATGAAATTGTTGACTAATTCTTTTGAACGAGATGTGGCAGACGTAAAAATGATGAATTTTTGGCATTTTAGACGTGCTGTAAAATTAGTTTACTTAAAATTTGCAAGTACCAAAGACATTAACGCGAACTAATCGCTAGGCATCCATCGATTTTTTTTTCGTTCTTTTTTTTCGTTGTAAGACATGTAAACAACATTTGTGATTAGCATAAATTAAAATTTGGCTTGATTCTCACAGAATTACAATGGCGTTTCAATGACATTCATAAGCACAATTTCCTTTCTTTTTAATCAAAGTAAGTTTTTCATATCATCAGACACTACTGAGTCATACAGAATTGACACTTAGTAGCTGAGTATAAAAATAATTTCATATGACTTTGAAACTATGTAAATCATGAGATATAACAGAAATAAATTCTGCTATTGTACTGTATCTGCAATATCTAAAATCACCTCAAAATATATGCCTTCCCTTAAGTACTGAATAAACTAAGACTTAATTACATATCACATGAATGATTATTCAATACATGTACAATTCATTTTTATAATTGGAATGTAAATCAATATATCACATAACATACATGTTTTCCTAGAAGTTTGGTATATGTTCAAGTGAGAATAGAAAAAAAAAGGGAATTGAACTCTTGTCATTTCTGCATAACATCTACAGTTTGATAAACTGGCTTATCTATTATTATTTTGAACATTAATTTAGCATCTGTCCCATCTCATTGCAAATTATGCAAAACCTTTCAAAAGGAATGTCACAAAAGATAACTGGGGTATTTTATATTAAATGTCTTCAGACTTAATGTTAAATGGGCTTTTCAACTAACAAGAAAAAGAAACAAATCAGAAACACATTGAAAAATGACAAGAGTATTTTGCCAAAACTCCAGGACTGTGCGAAAACTAGAAAATGTAGGCTGCAATGCACAGTGAGTAAATTCAATTAGCTGAACTGGAGCCAATATTTGTTTTATTTTCAGCACACTGGCATAAGTCAAAAAGACAATTACTATCCAGAAACCACATTAAAACCTTTTATAGTAAATGCATGAAGGCTGGTCATGACTTATTTTATGAATTTTGTAAATTACTATTTAGAAATGGATCAGATGGATTCCATAAAATATGGGGTAAAAATGTTAATAATTCAGTAAATATGAAAATTAATTGGGCATTAAAATATTGATCTACTTGGAAGAGTCAATATTCTTATATTATATGTATTTCATGGCATAAGTAGGGCAAGTTTTTGCCAAAATTGTACAAAGCGATGCGTAAATGACCGCGGTCGGTACTCTTTTGAACCAGCATGCCGAAAGGCTTCAGTGAATGAAATGCCAATCGAGTAAACTAGACTACACGAAAGATTCTGAAACATAACACTATCAACTTTCATTCATATCACACATCCCCTCCACAACATCCGGTCGACCCAGCCCATTCACAAAACGCACTATCGATTTTTGTCTGAAGCGGTATATCCCATTACACATCAGACGACGTCCTTCATAGTCATAAAAAATATAAATACATTACCTGTTCTTCGAATCGAGTTATCAACGATGTAACCCACTCCACTGGCTTTTGAGTTGCCATAGCTTTCTACGAAATAACAGTCCTCATATTTACATTACGATAGGTCTTTTTAGCGCCATTTTGAACGAAGCCCGTTCCATTTCTCGTCACAGGCGCATCAACGAACGAGAGAGTAAACGGCGGAGAATCGCAATCGACTTCGATAATTGAATGCCAGAATCCGGCTACATCAGAGCAAAACGTTAATGAGCGTCCTAGAATTGCGTTAACACAAGGATATTTGCTGAGCATGACCCAATTCACCGAAGGATGGTTAAAAAATCCAGCTTGATTCCATATATTGAAATACTTACATCCATATTCCTAAGAAAATAAATTACTAGAATGTAACAATGAAAAGCGCTGTACTGTCGAAAATGCAGCATGTAATATTTAAAATATGGTAGTTTAAAAAACCTGTTACACATTAACTGTCCCCTTAAGTAATAGGAGAATGCGTTCATGTATTCAGAAATTGCAATCCTTCATTTACAGCATCTTAAATTTTGAAGTTTTGCGTTCCTTCGTTCCTGTCGCCTAGGGTCTTCTTGCAACGATAGCATGAAAATCCTTAAACGTGACAAGGAAACGATAAAATGTAGAACTTCTTCTAATTTGTAGGATTTGAGAAACTATTCGCAGATAAACCTAATATCTTAATAAAAAAAATTCCTGCATCATATGGAAAACATGGCGGGTGTTGAAGTGACGGGTGAACCCAATGTTGTTTTGAAAGTTGGTGAATCCTTCTTTCCTTCTCATCGTGAAACATTATCTCAATGTAGCCCTTATTTTCAAGCAATGTTTGGTCATAATTTTATTGAAAAGGACCAAAGCGTCATAGAAATTCAGGCTGGTATCTTCTTAACGAACCACCTAGTGATTTTCGTATATTGGGAGAGATATCCCTAGTTCCCTTTACATTCGGTGTGAGTGATGTGTGCGAGAAACATTTTGATTGCGAGAATGAAAGTATTGGAATGATTTGAGAGTCAAAACATTAAATCAACACCCACTTTGGCTGCTTCTGGAAACCTCACTGTACTTGAATTAGATCCTAATAAGTACTTTGTTTGACATTGTAATAACAACAGAATGTATTAAAACGAATGACAAATATAATTAATGTACATTTATATTTCAGAATGTGGAACCGGAAGCAATGAGATCTATTTTGGAGTATGTAAAAACCAATGAAATACCTAGAGACATTTTAAAATCAAACGAAATTCTTTCTTTATTACAAGCATCTAGTATGCTGCAGTTTGAAGGGGTGCAAGAAATATGTGTCAATGTAATAATTCAGGAATGGCTTTCAGTTGATACATGTTTACAGACAATGGCTACTGCTCATGTCTTAGATTTGATTTCATTGTACCGTAAGGCAAGAGCACTAGCATTTTGGGAATTTTCAACTGTTAAAACAACAAGTGCTTTTTTTGATCTGTCCATTGATGCATTGGAGAATTATTTAGGTGACGATGGACTAAATACCAAACAAGGAGAATTTGAAGTGTTTGACGCTGGACTCAGTTGGTTACAAGAAGATCCGGAAAGTAGAAAACAATATATACTTCGCATCCTTGCATGTGTCCGTTTTTCAGATATGAGTGCTTCTGATATCAGAACAATGTTCTTATATCCGAATGTCAATGAGGACCAAAAAGCATTAAATACATTACTTTATGTATTAAAAATAAAAGAAGGCAATATTTCATGTAGCTCAAAGAAGACTTCAAGAAATTCAGATGATTCTCAAACTGCTGAAGAACAAGGGAAATGTGCTGCAGAATCTCCTACTTCCTCCGAATCAAATAAACATGAAAAATCTAATAAATGCTGTTATTGTAGCTTAGAGTGTTGTGGATGCATTTGCAGAGGACTTCGAAGACATTCAAGTTCATCAGCTTTCTCTAATATAGAAAATAGTACAAATCATAGGCGCAATTCTAACGGTTTGGGTTCAAGGCAGAAGAACTCATTTAGTAAAAATCATTCTCTTTCATCATCTAAAGAAGGAAGTTGCAACAAATCATCTACATCTGATCAAGATAAAGCTTCAACAAATGAAGAAGAAAATGAGACTGAAGTAATCCACAGAGCTCTGCAGTTACTAAGTAAACCACAACGTCAATTGCCCTTCGTTGCGTGTGTGATAGGGCATAAAAGTGACTCTATTCCGAAAGATAAATTTATGCCAAGGACAAAATCTTATGCTATTTACTTTGATGAGAAACTTAAACAACCAGTACCTTTCATTTACTTAACTAAAATTAACGATGGGCCTATGGAACCAACTGGGTATAAAGTTATTAGTAAAGGTCAGTGGCTATTTAAAAGAGGAAATTTTTTATTTCATAATATTATTATTACATTGGTATGCATGTTTATCTTCCAGGTCAGGATCTATATGTAATAGGTGGTGAATACTTATTAGGATATGGTAGATGGAACTGTTCTGTTTGGAAATATAGTATGTGGCAAGATCAATGGACATGTGAGACTAGGTAAAATTGTTGTAGAAATGTTTCATGTTTAAATTTTTTCTTAAAAATTATATGCCTAAAACATGTTGTTTGTAGCCTTCCAGATCCCAGAAGACATCACTCAGTTTGTGTAATTGACGATGATATTTATATTATTGGTGGGTTTGGCAGACATCGTGTTATTATGGGTACTGTTGAGAGGTATAACATAGCATCAAGTAAGTTATATTCCTTTTTTATAACTTATTTCTTTTCTGTGCAGTATTTGGTAATATTGTGAAAATAAAAATATATTAAAATTATAAAATTCTGTGTTATATTATATTTACCAAAAAAAACATTTTTTTTTAGAAACCTGGACTCGAAGGGCACCTTTACCTATAAGCATGTATTCGGCTGCTTGTTGTGTTCATAAAGGATTTATATATGTATTTGGTGTGGAGAATTGTTATTATAATGTCAAAGAAAATTCATGGTATTCATTCAACAAACCATTGCTTCCTGGTAAAATGACTTTCAGTTGTGCCATGTCACATGAAGACAGCATTTACCTTGTAGGTTAGTTCCTTCCCTAATATGAACTTCCCTTTGAAAATTATTTTATTATTTCATGAACTGATGCATAATAAGAATTGTTTAAGGGGTAAGTTATTTTCTGCTTTAATCTATAATGTTGCAGAAAGTAAGTTTACATAAATTCTTCACTGAAATTTAAAATTGAACATTTGATTATTTTGAGTTATACTAGATATGTTTATAAAAGAGAGCCATGTAGTTTCATAGGGGCAGAATTTATTCACAATGCCCTGTTGTTTCATGTATTATTAAAATTATTTCCTACTCTTGCAAGAGTAAGAGAACATATACGAAAAATATTTTCTCAGATACAGAAGCAACAGTCAACTAATTGTGAATATGGGCTCAGAAAATAAAAATTAATGTCTAATTGATTGTTTAAATTGCAAACGATCTCATCTGCATTGAGTACATAGTAATGCAGATTTATGCCCTTTACGTATACCAGCACTTTTTTTCATCAGGACTTACAATTTCAAATAACACAAACTACACATATTTACAATTGCATACACATATTTACAATTGCAAACTAATGGAAGTCAACTCGTGCTAAAGCAGATGGTCAATGGTTCAGCTTGGATTTGGAGTCTTCTTGAGGATCTATAATGATATCAAATGAAAAAAGTCTAACTGGTTCTTTGTGGCTGTTAGATTTATTTCAATCATTTTAGATCCTGAAGAAGGCTCTAAGGCTGAGCTGAAACATGGAACATTTGTTTTAGCATGAGTTAGTGACTATCGGTATGTGTTTGTATATAGTTTGTGTTATTGTAAATTGGAAGTCCACATGACAACAAAGTTGCTATATGTAATCATAAATATTCAATAATAATTGTAATTTGGCCACATTTACTATCGTTCTATATATTTACTTACATTTCTCATGATTTAAAGTTAATCAAAGAAAGTATTAAAATTATTATATAAATTTATCGATACTTGCTCTACTTTGCATCAATTGTTACTTGTATTGATATACATTTCCTTCATGCCAGGTGCTTATACTTCAGAACTTATGCGTTTTTCCCCGGAGCACCTCTACAGTCCAAATGATGGAGAAGAAGAAAGCTTTGAAACTTTGGGCAGTTTTAAATACCGCTCCGTCTCTGCTTGTTTAACAAACAGCAAAATTTATAGTTTTTCTGCTAATGACCAAGGACATATTCATGTTGAAATGTATGACATAACTACAAGGGAATTTCATGTGGTTTGGAAAGGATCCGATAAGGAAGCAGGTGGGATTACTGATTTTAATCCTAAGAACTGCATAGGCTGCTTCCCAGTAGTTATGTATTGAACATAGATACATATATTTTTAAGATTCCTTCCTCTTGTAGCTCAGCAGAATTTTCCAAGGAAAGTAATGAGGGTTACTGCCATTTTATTTTCAAAAATCACGGAAATAACGTTTTAAGAATCAAATATTAAAACAGTTCCAAATTGACAAATTCATGGACAAGAGAAGCTCATTAAATTTTGTATTACTATTCCCAAAAAATGTAACTTAAAATAGTTATCAGAATTTTACAGTAATAATCTTTTTTACCCAGGTTCGTCAAGTGTTTATTTCTTGAGATCACAGAATTGCTAATTTTGAAGAGCAGTACATTAAGAATTAAAAGTATGATGCAATGGAAAAAAATTTAAGATTAATTTATTGGAATTATAGTTTTACAACGGGGCTGGGAATGATAATTGCATTGTTTAGCACTTATCCTGTTATTTCTAGTGCTTATGTTCAAAGCATAGACTAAGCTTCTAGAGTACATTTATTTTTGCTACTATATTTAGATGCTGTGTCTTTTCCTCCTAATCTACCCTTGCAGAGCAAACTTTGCTTATTACATGTTTTTTTTCAGTCTAACTCAAAAATGATGTCCATTTGACTTGTTTTATAAGTGTTGAAATTACTCTAAAGTTAAGGACATGACAGGAAAAGTTTTCATAAAACCAGAATATATACCAGATAGTTTAGCTATGCAAGATAGGCAGACCCAAAGAACTCCAGGACACCAAAGTGAATGTGATGTTTTTAGTAAAATTATAATTCATACCTATGTATTGTGAAAAATCATAGGTGTTCTTTGAAATGAAAAGGTGTATACTTCTTGACAAGGCCAACTTTTGACTTTGCCATTGCTGGATCTAAATGTTGTGATATAGTGTTGTGCAATTGTTTCCCAATATGTACAGCCCATATTGGCACCTCTAGTTTCACAATCAGTAATGAGCATTAGTGAATCAGCAGAGTGCAGATAAAGAAATTAGGTGGAAATGTAAACCTACTATGTATTTGTCCATTATAAAGGGCAATGTAATTCTTAATGTACCAAATATTCTCTATACTTCCAACTTGATTTCTGTGCCTCAAACAGTATTTTGTAACATATTTAAAACAAAATTTCTTCATGGTTTCATGTTACTAGGATTCTTGTTCACACTCAAAAAAGTTTGTTTTTACTTGTAATCTCTTGAAGTGATAAGTATTGGCAAGTAGTTCAAACACTTTTAAAACAAACAAAATTATTTGTAAAACATTCAATATTAACCTTCATTTTGCTTCCCAGTTCAATGAGATACAAATATATTTTTTAAATGCAAAAAATGTAGGAAAAACACTTACCACCACCACACTTGAATCCTGGTAGTCTTCCATTAGGATCGGATTATCATGCATTTGTAGTAAGGGGTTGAGAATTCTTCCTTTTACATTTCAACTCAAATTACCCAAGCCAGAAAATTTTTGTTGCAATTTTGCAGCAAAATTTTCATTAAAAACAAGTTGCATCAGAATTCAAGTAATCTGGGTTTGAGGATTTATGGTTTGTCCTATAATTGAAAATCATAATTAATAATGAAAACAATTCACTTTTATGTTAAAAAATATATTTTCTTCACATTATATCTTTTCCCAAACCTAAATGTCATTGAGTTCTTGAGATTTTGAAGAATGTAGCTCTATCTCCATTGAATTTTCATAAATGATGCTGTTGAAATTTGATGGTGTATAATTTAAAAAAAAAATTAAATACACACACACACACACTTTAAATAATTAACTAAACACACACATATACAGTCAAATTATTAATTATTGTGGGCAATATGACAAACTTTCTTTCAATATAATTTTTTTCCAATTATCTGTATTTTTGTATTGTGAAGGATAATTGAGAACAAACTGATGTAATGGGAAGATAGAATCTGAAGATATCTAAAATTCTGTGATCTCTGATCACTTAATTAAATGATAAAAGTTGACTGATAATGATAAAAGGACTGCATCTTTGTATTGCAGAAACATTTATGATACTAATATAGTGAGAGAGAATTCCATATGGTGGTAACCCTAGATGTATATTGCTCTTTTGTGGCGTTATAAGTTTCATTATGTATTTTTCTCAGGCAATATGTGATATGACTTGACACCAATTATTGGAAAAATAAGTTTCTTTAAGTTGTAAGAAGATATAATCTTTTAAAGTAAGAGGTTGTATTTTAATTTTAATACTAATTCTTTTAAAATGAAGGGCCTTCATAAAACAAGATCATGGAAAGACTGAAATGTATAATATGTATGTGACTTATGTAATGAACTTTATATTTCTTTATGCAGTATTATTTAAAGACTTATTATTATAAAATACTGACTTTATAAAACTTGGATTTGAAATTGTCTACCTGTAACTATGCCCTTTCGCAAAACAGAGCATCAAGTGGCTCCTATGGGCCATCTTAGAAATATGAATTTATCTCATTGTTATGGTCGATTTGTATTCAGTACTGAACATTTGAATCAATAGCCTAGGTCTGCCAGGTCCATGAATTTAAAAAAATATTACAAGTAAATTTAATAGAGCAAAAACAAGATGAAGAAACTAATAATTCAGGGATAATGATTTCTTTTGTAAAATAATTATATCAAGATGTTTGGAATCAAAGTTAAAAGGTTTTTTCCACAAACAGAAGCACAACCTGAACTTTAATGATACATGGTTTACTTTTAGATTGATAGAATTAAAAAATCGGTTCAGGTGATAAAAAGTGGAAAACGCAGCCTTTGAATTTACATTCTGCATAAAAAAATCTTTATTCATTTTCAGACAGTTAACTGTGAAAGGAGTTAATCATAATTTATTTTTAATATTAACCTCTTCAGGAGTTAATGTAACTTCATTTTAGTTTACTGTTAATTAAATAGAAATGTACATGTCTTTAAATATGCTTTAAGGGGAGGGGGGATCTTTATCTAGCAAATTTTCCACCTCTAGATATCAGGGTTCATAGTTCCATAATTTATGTGAAATTTCTGGTGGAGGGGTTCGTACCAGGTTTTCCTGTTTTTCCCATGATCTCATTCCACTGACATCTTGATCTTGATCTCGTTCATTAATCATTCTTTAACTTATCATTAGTTTAATTACATAATTTTCAGTTATTGCTGCTTCACTGGGGTAACACACGATTGGCTAATTGGACTTGTCTATTTATCATCCCCTTCTTCATTGTAATGCTTTAAAATAACTTCATCATTTCTTTGATATTATGTATCCCCCTATACATCTATTGATAATTTAAAAAAAATTAATAATCTGTTTTAAAATTAGCCCTATTAGCCAAAAGTGCTCAAGTGTGACAAAAAATGTTATCCAAAGATACTATCTGAAAATTGCCGAAATATCAAGGTTCCATTTGACCAGTTGTCCAATTGTCCCTCATGAACTTCAAGATGACTCTGGCTGCAGTGTAAATAACATGAAAGAATGTTGAATTTTTTTGTGTTTTTACACAATTATTCACTCAGAGTATTCAAGTTGTGTTTAAGACCTCATATCAGTTGTCTCATCTTCTTTTTTTCAAGGATAAGTAGACATAAAAGAAACTTCTACTACTATGAGTGCAGACTAGCACAATTTAATGTGTCTTCAATGAGTCAAAATATGAGAGAGGTCATTTGTCAAGTACATACCTCTCCATTTTTAATTTGCCAAACTTCTGCATTTCACATCACTTCACAATATTAACATTTCACTTTTTGTGATAGGTGGAAATTATACATAATTTCATAATTCATTACTTTCATTTTTAAAACACTAGAAAAATAGGGAGATGGGCTTCCAGGAAGAAGTTAAATAATGTTGCAGCATTTGTGATTCTATCTATAATTGTTTTTTTAACTTATCAAATCCCTCACTGACTTCTTTAATTCCTTGATTTAGTAAATTATGTGACTAGTGTAAATTAACAGACAAGTGTGAATGAGTTTTGATTTTCTTTGTTTACAATCTTCCCATGTGTATCCTAGACAGTCATGCCAAAAATGCATTTGTCCCCTTTATTTGAGATTACTGATACATGTAAAACCAAAACTTTATTATTGTTCATAAGTATAAGCTGAGAGCTTTTTATACAATTATCAGCATGTGCATAAAGTCAATACATAGAAATTTAAATCACTGGTTCCCAACCGGTTGTTAATCCTTACCTAGAGGACTATGTGAAGTTATTGTGCAACTTATTTTATTTCAGGAAGTTCTCCTATTTTATATGTATTTCAAAGCACTTGACTGTTACACAGTACATCCAGGTATGGTGTAACAGACTGCACTGTGAAGTTTTAAAAGCTCCCAATAAATTTAATCCTGGTTGAGAGAATCTGGAGGTTTCTATTTTGTATTGAGCTGTTGTCGCTCTACCCTCCTGTTATTGCAATTGTTCAGGAGGGTCAGTGACACAAAGGCATAGTCATGCAACAGCATTTTGTTTCAATCTTCAAATTATTCCGATTTGAAAAAGGCTACTATTAGTTGTACAAGATTTGTATTAACAAATTATTTATAATTATATTTAAATTGTAAATGTGATGCATAGTATGAATTATAAAGATGGGGAAACTATTGTATAAAATCTTCACTATGAATGTTACTTCAGCATTAATGAATTATGAAAATGAGGTCAAACAGATTGATTATGGATGGCCTTGTGGGATTTCATCACTGCCAGATTATTTGGAACCATTTAAGAAACATTACACATTTATAATTCTCATAAAGTAAGATATAGTATGTAAAAACAGTCTTTCTTCGGTTAAGAGTGTAGTAAGTCAAAATGTCATATGAATTGATTGATGTGTGTTTGAGGATGGGAGTGCGTGTGTACATGATCACACTCGCACAGGTATATGTGTTTGTGCATGCATATATGTCTGTCGTGTAATATACTCCAAATTACAATAAATGCTTTACATTTTCATAAAACATAATTTTGCTAATCATATTGTGAAAATGCAGTAATAAGTAAAAGGCAGTTTTGATGATAATATTGCAATATTGACATTTTTTGAAAGTCACTGCACTCTTCTGTATCACCTGAAACAATTCAAAGCCTAACAGTATTCTCTTTCTGTAGTCATTGTATTCCATGATGTGTAGTAGTCTGGACCATGAAAGTTTGCAGTAATGCAAAACTTCAAAGTAGCTTTAGTAAAGTTACTACATTTTTGTCAAATATTGAGTCAACAGATTTACCTTCAGAGTTTGAAGCATGCAAATGTGGAGAACTGGTAGAATTAGTTCCTGCAAGAGTTATCCCAAATAAAGCTTTAAAATAATTGATATTGATCTCTTATGGGCAACTTAAGGTAGATAATATATTGTTTTTATATAATCAAGTATTTCATCAAAACTAGTCTAATATGTACTAGTTATTCTTTTCCAGTCAAAATGTGATTTGACTTATATTTTGTACAAATGTTTGACAGATTGTATCAAATAAACTTCTTCTAATGCTGAATGCATTTTAAATATGCTCCCAATACCCATTAGAAATAAGAATTGTTAGTCTAATATGTAGAAGTAAATGAGAGTTCAGTGTGGCAGAATATTTGTTCTATACAATAGTTATACATTTCAAGTTAATGTACTCATAAGTTCAAATTTATTTCAGAACATTCTCATTCCTAAGGCCATGAGAATTTAGAAACTTTTTTTTTAAATCAGAAAAAGGTGAAAAATGTACTTTTGAAATTAACAGAATTCCTTTTACGATACATATAGTGCAGTCAATTAGTCATATTACATTGCAAAAGGTGAGATGGAAGTCTTTTTTATAAATGTTATATTGATTTTCTTTTTTTTTTAATCCAAAGTTTTCTATCTCAAAATATTGTACTTCAGGGAAAATTGTGGTACCCTAAAGAACACAAAATTTCCAAACCTTTTTGGAAATAATTCTCCAGTGGTTTGTCTTGGTGTAAAAAGGGTTAGGTAAAATTTTCAAGGTCACAAATTTTTTAACAAACTTACTGCTAAAAAGATTTTTCCAAATTAAATTATAATAAGAGGTATGGGGTTTTAAAAATTTAATTTTTTCTATTTTTTTGTGAATTTGCTTGAAGTTACTGACATATTCCCATTTTATTTTTTGTGGATCCCAGGGATCATCTACATGCATATAAAACAGTCTGGTTAGTTACAATATTTATAACACCAATTTTAATTATCCATGATTTGTTGGATTCATCTCCACCCTGAATAGCAGAATAACTATTAAAATATTGAAAAAATTCACGAAAAGAAAAGAAACTAAATATTCATGTTAAGTGCAATCCGCGACATACGGCAAGATTTTTGACAGTATACCGTTAAATAACTCATAAACGAAGTGTTCTGGACATTAAAAACTACAATTTATGCCAAAGGTCTCAAAGAAACCTTTCTTACACCGCAATCCAAAGGATGAGATGTTGAACATTCCATTACATTTTTGCTGATCCGGCGCTTTTCGATATTACCTTGCCTGCTCAGACACGTGGTGCCAAATTACAAAAACGATTGTCTAATTATTGTAATTTTTTTTCACAAATAACTTTGATTTTTTTTTTTTTTTTTTTTTTGAATATACCTCACGCTATTAATATACACATTTCCAGCAATTTGTAAACACTATAGTATTTATGACTTAAAGTACTTTAAATTAAGTTTTTCGAAAACTCAAAAATTTTCTATGAAAAACAGCTTCAAATTTCGAATTTACTGTAGCGCTTGAATGCCATTTTCTTAAAAACAGCTCCAAATTTTTCAAAGAAAATTGTAATTTAGGACGAGGTTTTACTGTTCTTTAATATTCATAAAATAACATTTCCGTTCTATTATTAGGAAACCGAAAAATTAACAAAATGCCATATATAAAATATGTACTTTGGGCGGCGATAGATAACAGCTGATATAGTTCGTATAGCTAGCATTATGTGGCAAGTTCGTATAGCTAGCCGAGACCAAAGTAAATAGAAAACTAGTACGGGAAAGTTTGTACCATTCTGTAGCACCACTAGTTCATTTAGCTTTTAATACTGCCTCTACTTCCGCAGAAAGACAATATACGACCATACTTTCGTGTTCAGTAGCTAAAATAGGGGGGAAGAGGCAAAATTAAAATCTACTGAAACAACTCCAGAAGCATAATTAAGTGGTTCCTATTGTCAAAAGTCATTAAATATTAACAATAAAACAAAAGAGTTTTTGCCAAACTCCACGCTCTAATCATCATCAAAACTTTAAGACGGAAATTGAAAAGCAAAGAGGAGCTTTTGCATCTCTTTCAAACACACTTAAAGTAGGAGAGAAGAAAATACCTGTTGACCTAGTAACAATATTATGCAGTGTTTTGAACAAAGCAGCCCGAAGATCTAAAACAATTTTTCACATTTGAACTACTAAAGTGAAGTGAGAGCCTAGGCTTCCGCGGCCGGAGTCAGTATTTACTAGGCTGTCCGGGTGACGCCGCGTCCATGGCGAAGGTGCCGACGTTTCGGTCGCCATTCTGCGACATTCCTCAGGGCGTAATCCGTGGAAATGGTCAGCACACGAGTTATACTGCGATTTATTTGCAGCCATCTGTGACTGATCATCAGATGTTGCGGTGCCATCTAATCGGGCATACAGGTTACTATGGTGGTAATCGTAGCTTACAGGTCACTATGGTGATGTTCAACCTTCCGGTTGGATGGCACCCTAACTGCTTATTCACTTCAGAGGCAGCTCTGAATGAATCCAAGTATAATATAGAGTTAAATCCCCCTTCACCCGTCAGCCGGTTGGCCGGATAATCAGCCAATGCGGAGAGAGTACCAGCCAATCAGGGAATGGGTCCCCTTAGGAGAACTTAACCTTACCTTAACTCGTGCGCTGAACATATCCGCACATTTCGCCCTGAGGAAAGTCGCAGAATGGCGGCCGTTGGCATATTTCTTTTAAGACACAGCGTCTCCCGGACAAGTCAAGTACCTACTGACTCCGGAAGTGGCGGATCCAGAGGGGGCATGGGGGCCTGAAATTTTCGTTTAACTTCTTTTATTTGGACAAATTTATTTAAATATTTAGTTTTGTTAGAATTATGTTATTATTTTAAAAATAATACATAATATCATATATACAACACAAACATAATATACATTATTAATAACAAATGTTTATTATTTTACAAAAATCTATGATGGCCCCCTCTAAAATGATCTGTTGAATCCGCCTCTGGACTCCGGTCGCGGGAGCCTATGCTCTCGTAAGTTCTCATTCGAGCCTCTCCAGAGCTAGAAAAAATTAGGTGAAAAGAAAGGTGTGGTAGAGGATAAATAGAGGATTCCTGTAGCACAAAGTTGTGTAGCAACACAAGGACTGTTCAGTTCAACATGTGAGAGAGATGCCAGTTTTGTGCAGAAATATTGTGGTGAGATGTGTTTGATTGATATCAGAAAGATGCAATAGAGAGAGCCCAGAAAATTTGCGTCATTCTAGGATAAACGGCTGCCGAAATTACTTTTAATGAAGGTACCATTTGTCTGGTATCTCAAGAGATTTTTTTAGGAAATGAAACTGATGAAATTAACACATCAACATCACAACATTTTTCTTTGAAAGTCTGGACGAAGTATATTAAATGCTAATGCATTGATCTCAGCTGCTTCATCAACGATGGAACACTCATCCTTATCCATACACTCGGTGTGAAGCATCTGCTGTTTTCAGACAGGGGCAAAACAAAATTGCGACATTTTTGAAAAGTTTCCTGGGCTGATTGTGCTTCCTGCTGTTTCAAATAACTATCTGTAATATGGTACTTTTATCATGTTAACAGAAAAACTCTTATTGTCGAGCCCTAGTAACGAAAAAGTGGAAAAAAAGTTGCTAAGTTTAGAAAAAAATGACGGTATAAATAGTATTACATAACCATTACCAAAGGTGAGAGAGCACGTGCTGTTTTAGCACCACTAGTGTAAAGAATGTGATGTGGCATTGTTAGATGACAATACATTGACATTAGCCAATCTCTAATTAGACAAGATCAAATTAGCGGTTGGCTAAATCCTGAAGCCTGTAAGTTTTACAGACGTCATACCAAGTTTTTACCCTAGAGAAAACAACTGCCAATCGTACTTATTTTCAAAAATTGGACTATAGTTGAATTGTAAATAAGATAGCAGCGACCGTTTTAACAGTTTTTAACATAAATAAATGTTAATAGCAAAACAGCATACACTTTCTCGAATAATTTGCAACGGTTACGTAATATAATATTGCAACTTATATCCTACTTACACTTCAGCCTTCACTTGAAAAAATCCTAAACAAGCAAAGCGTAAGAGTTTCGAAAAAAATCGTTAAATTTTCAAAATTCAAATTTCTTTAAGGATCACACACCTCGGCGTCCTGATTTTCTCTCTGTGGCTCTAGACAGAACCAATCTTTTTTTTACATGAAGTGAATTAAAGGTACTGAGGAGTAGATTGTTGTAAGATCGGGGGTAATGAGGGGAAATCCCCTCCTTCAAGAAGTAAACAAAATTACCCGTGACTAATATATTTTATCTTGTCCCGAAACATGCAAGCTAAAATATTTTAGTATCAAACATGAAGACTTGGAAAATCATAGAAAGGGGTAGATATTTACGGGTCGGAAATACGTCAAGTTAAATCGGAATGGTTGCTTATTTTGCACCATTTATATTCATTTCAGAAATTATACTTTTCGATCAGTGTGTGGAAGCTCAACATACATCATCAATTTTCTCAACATAAATCCTTCATTTTGGTGCGTTACGGCAGACAACAATTTTGTGAAGTATCAACCCGTCGTTACACAAGGAGAGCTAAGTCTCATTTCTATTGTAATTTTGGACACATTGCAAACAAAAACAGAGCTGACTGCGTGTCGACAATAGTCTACTTCAGCAAAACAATGGCTCAGGCATGTAGATCCTTTGCAAACCGAAGACGAATATTTACAAACCACCTGTTTTGTGTTTTATATAGGACTTGTTACAAGGAGTTACTTCATAGTAGGCAAGTACAATGTTAGAGAACAATCACGATGTAATTAAGGGATTTTCTGTATTTCCCATAAAACAACATGAATGATAGCCCAAATCTGGTGACAACATATACATTCAAAGAAAAGTTATACCTTGTGAAGATGTATGTATTGAATGGGAACACGTTAGAATTATCTGTAACAGATAAATTCACAGCAGAAGAATGGAGATGCAGTTATGATGCCACCTGTAAGAATTCTGGGCTGCTCGGTAACTAGCGGGTTGTTAATTAACTAGAAGCCGATTTAGTTAATAAAACATGATCTATTTCAGATATCGAAAACCTTACACATAAAACGGGAAACTATAAGCAGTTCGATGTATTTGTCACTATGCTCAAATCAGGTCTTCTAAAGGTATGATATTTTAGAACATCTACGTACAAACTGCAGTGGAATTTTGTTACAGAAGAGTTCTTTTTT